AATAACCTTGCTTCAATTAGGACTTTTGAAGGTTGTAACGTGGTCTGGTTCATGGTTTTTAGAAAAAAGATTTTAAGGCTCAAAATATTTGGTGCCCACCCATTCTTCATGATGTTCTCCAACCCTATGTTCAGTTAATTCAACATGAGTGTTCATCTCTCAAAAGGATTTTGTGACGGTCAAGGAAACGACGAGGCTTTCCGTGTAGCAACCACCTTTATGTCTTCGTGTTTGTAGTCACCATTTTGTTCTTTGTTGAGGAATTTTCTTTGTATTCCTTTCCTTGCAATTTTATTTTCCCTAACTTTTGCCTGAACTAATTCTTTTGAATTGATAGTCCAGCGGGATGCCTTAATTTTGCCTAAGTCACAAATTTTCATGTTTTTTGACTTAGCAGGCTTTTTCTTTTTCTCGATTTTTGACTTTTTGAACAAAATGTGTGACATTAGCTTGCATTTGCTTGTTGAGAAGATTGTGATTGCCTCGTTTCTTGATGAATGAGGGACAACACTGTGGTTCCACATCTTCTGGATTCATTATATATGAAGGATAGCCCTCGTAATTTCTCTTCAAAAAACATCTTCCTTATGAATTTTGAACACTCAGTCAGATTAACTAAAAAACTACCCTGCCCCAGGTTAAAATTCAAGGTTTTTTCGTATAGAAAAGAAACTTCTGCTTCAAAGGCTCAAAAGGGGTTAGCAAGGGATTATCTTCCTTATATCTCCAGTGTTTAGGGATTTGAAACAATGCCTGTACATCATCAGCAAGATTTTATCTAAAAGCATGCAACCAGAGATTTTGTGTTCTTTAGATCATCATCCTCCCTTCAATCTCTGCCTAGGCAAGAGAATGGGTAACAAGTTGGTATCATAATTCCAAAAGAAATTTAAAATTTGAAAACAAATATGAGTGAAACGAATGAATTTCTTCAAGACAAACATACTCATTGTATTAAGATAATCATACAGATGCAAACAAGTTCTTACATGCAAACAATGTTTTGATAAACAAGAAAAATTACAAAAAGCATAAATAAGTTAATGATCTGGGAAGGCTTTCCCTCTGGACTTGAATTACTGAAAACATCCTTCAAAAATCAAAGTCACCATCAATCGTGTTTACTCTTCGGCGCATGCTTGATTTGAACTTCAAAACCAACGTCCTTGAATGACAAGATACCACTTCTGAACCTCAATCTTCAAAGCAAAGCAACCCTCCAAGTCATGCCCAGGAACACCTTGATGAAAGGTACAAGTCAAATCAGCTTTGTAGTACCAATGTATCTTCTCAGGAACCTTCGGTGGAGGTCGGGTCTGAACCAAATTCCTCTGCATCAGGATAGGGAACAACTCTGTATAGGTAATTGGAATTGGATCAAACTGGGTTTTCCTTTGATTAGGAACTTGCTGATTATGTTGATGAATAGGAGAAACATGATGATTCTGACAATGATTATTTCTTCCTCTGGTTCTCTTCTTGGAAAAGTTATTATCAAACTTCTTCACACCATTAGCTGAGCTACCATCTTCATATGAACATCCCTTTCCGACATCTTCTTCTAGACGCACTCCCACATTCATCTTGTCAGGAAAGTCACTAGGCGCATTAATTATCATCTTCTCATGAATGAATGATTTCAGAGTTTTAGTGAAGACTTTTATCATCGCTTCCTTCCTCCTAGAAAGATTGACTTGGGAGGCAACCAAAATTTCAACCAAACTAGTTAAGTGCTCCATACTAGCTTTCAAAATAGTCATCTCTCTACGGAGTTCAGAAACCTCTTGCTTGATATTCTCCATTGTCCTCTTAGCGCGAGTGTTGTACTAGTGAGACCAAAGGAAAAATAAGACTCAGAAAAAGACCTTTGAAAGTGAAACAAAAAATGTAAAATGATGTATGATATGTAAAAGAGAGTTTTTATTTGATTTTCAAGGAACTCAAGATATTAAGTTGTAAACATCAAAGTATGAAGATAGAAGATGAATTTTAAATTGGCTCCAAACATTGATCAAGTTATCATCAAGATCAATCATCCATTTTGGTGGATTAGGGTCTTCGCCCTATCAACACCCAAGATCCATTGAGCTTGACGAAACTTGTGATGTTTACAAAGAAAGACCTCCAAATTCCTTCAAAGTCAAGTGAAAAGGGTTTTATGGATGCATGAATGCATGGCTATGCAACAACCACAAGCAAGGTCACAAATAAAGTCGAAAGGTTCAACGTCACGAGCATGGAGTCAAGGTAAGGAACACCCCCAAGGTATGTACTAACGGTTTAATCACACCTGTAGAACAAGGTTCTAAGAGTTCCCGGAGTCTACATTCCTCCTTCGGATATTACCAACGTCTTGATTACTCAATAATCAGCAATATTCTCAAGAGAAACTCATCCGAGCGTAGCATCGCGTAACAATTACTTCCGGATTACTCCGTTATAATCTCCGCGCTACACCTAAAAGGCCAAGATGGGTTAGGGTTCTACGATTCCCAGCTTCTCTGGCTCCTAGGTCGAAAATAATAATGTCTTCCCGATTACTCGGTAAACAAATATTACGTTCAAAAGGGCTTTTCACTAAGTGGGGGATCTCATGCCTCCTTCTTTGGGATTACTCCCTCAAAGTTAACATGACTATACCGCCCGTCCTATTCCTAAGTGTAACTTAGTCCGGGTATAGGACTTGTCCTTTGTAAATATTATCAACACCCAAATAATCATAATATATACATATAATCAAACAATCAAATAATGATAAAACAGATAAAACAAATTAGGCTTAACCCACTTAGGGATGGACCAGCAAGTGGTCAATCTTTCCCCAGCAGAGTCGCCAATTCTGTAGCGGTGAAAACCGGAGATCAAGCTATTAATTAACTTGACTCGCAAAAGCAAGATTCGCCACCGCGCTTTATTATTTCCAAGGGAAAAGGGAAAAGAGCGAAATAAAACCCTAAAATATGCAATGTAAAATAATACTTAAAAGTAATAAAAATACAATGCGTTTTTGAAAGAGATCGAGAGTTCGGGGGTTGGTTATACAGTGGGAAGGTATTAGCACCCAATGCATCTGCGGTACTCCGCAGGAACCTTTTGAAATATCTGTTTTTTGGGTTAAAAAATTGTTCATTTGATTAAAATGATTCGTTTGGCTAAAAGATGGGTATGGACAAGATTTTTGAAGATACGACGACCTAGTGTCGAAGCTTTGACTTAAAAGGTGGGAGTTTGAAAATGGAGTCTTTTGGGAAAATTATCTTAGGTTTAATAAAATAATAACAAACAAGAGATGGATGAGGGTACTCGCAGGATTGGATGAGATGTGTTTGATGACATGAAGTCAGCTGAGTTGAAACATTTCCCTTGGAATGAGCAAAATAAAATGAACATATAAATATTCAGAAGTTCACAAGAAAATAAATCTGACAAAAACAAATTAATGATGAAGAGGCACCGAGAAATTGAAATGACAGAAATATACAAATGAAAGGAATATAACTAATTATCTAAGGAAGTTATTCGAACTAAATTAAAAATTACTTATTAAAATAATTCTAAACTAATTACAAATTCTAAGGTTATAAAAAAAATCTAGTATTATTGAATTTGATCTAAACTAAACTAAAGTTTTAAAATTTAGTAAGTTAAATCTAGATTAAATTAAAATCCTAAGGTTACTAAATTAAATCTAAAACAAATGAAAATTCCAAAGTTACTAAACTAAATCTAAATCAAATAAAATTCTAAAACTACTAAACTAAATTTAAATCAAATAAAAACTCTAAAGTTATTAAACTAAATAAAAATTATACACTTATTAAACTAATTCTAAATCAAATAAAAATTATAAATTTATTAAACTAATTCTAAATCAAATGAAAATTCTAAAGTCACTAAACTAAAACTAAACAAATAAAATTCTAAAGTTAACTAAATAAAATCAAATAAAAATTCTAAAGTTATTAAACTAAACTAAAACAAATAAAATTCTAAAATTTACTAAATGAAATAAAATTCTAAAGTTATAAAATAAAACTAAAACAAAATAAAATTCTAAAATTATTAATTATGATTCTAAATATTTTAAAGTTATAAAATAAATCTAAACTAATTAAAAAATTCTAAATTAACACTAAACTAAATCTAAATATAAAATTTACTAATATTTTTTTTATATATTTTTTTTTGCATTTAAGATTTCCGACTTCTTTTATAGTTATATAATAGATGTTCATAGTACAAACTAACTTAGCATGTTCTCACTAATGTAGTTCCTTAGAATATCTTAGCTCTGTATATACATTATATCAACTGTAAACTCTGCCAATCAAATTTTTCATAAGCACATCAACGGCCATAAAAGCAAATGGAAAATGCTCTGATACTTGCTTCATGATTATGTCATAGAAGAAATCTTAATAAGCCACAACCACATATTTGGTAGACAATACTGAAATTAAGTAGTAAACTGTAAACCAAACACATATTTATATTAAATGGGAAAGAAGCCCTTACTTTTGATTAATGAGGAGGTGGAAGGCAATGGCGGCGACAATGATGGACGGTGCTCTTCAATTACCAAAACTTGAAGAGGAGACCACCGTGGGTTGCAAAGAAAGGAGCAAACACCAGTGACTCAACTGCCATCAGTTTGATAAGGATGTTAAGTGAAGGTCCAGATGTATCCTTCAATGGGTCTCCAATGGCGTCACCAATAACTGCTGCCTTGTGTGGGTCTGACCCTTTTGGACCAAGAGTTCTTGCACGCTCTGAGGCACCAGCCTCAATGTATTTCTTGGCATTTTTCACAACCTTCTTTCAGATCAGCTGTCTCCTAAGAACTGCCAAACTCTTTGTATGCATGGGGGACTGTGGAAGGACTCTATTTGAAGGAGGAAGGCCGAGGAGACCACAAATCAAAGTCATTATTCCAAGTAGGAAAACGTCATAATGGTAAGCAGATGGTTTTTTGAAGGTTGAATTCTTTCTGTTTTGCCATCTTAGAAGCCACACTTCCACATATCCTTCGCTACTGTCCAGTGATAAAGAGACGCGGGTTCCCAGGGAAGTGGACAAAACAGCCTTCTAGGAACATCATGTGGAACAGTGCTTGGCTTTATATAAGATACTGCAGTCCACAACACAACCATCATTGGAACCCCATAATCTGCAATAAAGCCTCGTAGTTTCTTTGTTCCATATCGCCATGTTCTTGCTCTTCTGCTTTTAAGTGTGAAGACGATTAGTCATAGAGAAAAAAATGACTGCAAGTAATCCATTTGTATACTGCCATTGAATTTGCTCCGAGGAAGGTTCTTCAACTTTGGGATTGCTGAACTCGCCTACCAGTCCCTTTATAGCCTCTTGAAAGAAAAGAACAGTGATAAGCATGCCAAATAACTCCCCTGCAATTCTTGTAAATCTAGTGATAATATTGCAAGCATTAAAAATTGCAAGCAAAATTAACATGAACGCCGTCCAAAAACAAACCCAACCAGCCCAAGCTAGAAAGAGCTCAACACCCAAATCAGGTGTATTTTTGCCGAAATTGTAGAGATAAGTATACATTATAACAGTCGGTTCCGCAACTCCTAAAGTCAACAAAGGTTGGCCACCTATAATCGAGTGGATAATTCCACAAATAGCAGTAGATGCTAATGTTTCGACCGTGCTCAAGCTTCCATTTGTATCCCTACTAAGTTGCTCTCCAAATGCAATAACAGGAAGTGCAGAAGCAAAGAATATGTAGAAAGTTGGAGCCAATATGCTAACACCAGAACAGATTGCACAGACCCAATCTTGTTTATAGCATTTAACTCTTCCTTTAACATCTTGAATGATTCCCTCGAACGGTGCCCCCATGTTAATTTCCTCCCACAGCTGAAGGAGGAAAATATTTCAAAGGAAGCGAAGAGGCACCTCGAATGTTGAAGGAGAGAAACCTAATGAAAAAGGTTCGGCAGCATGGAAGAGTGGGAAATTTGGAGAGAGGGGAAGTGATTTGCTATATAGTGAGAGGAAAGTATATGCAGAAAAGATGGTAGTCGATTGGTTTTTTGGAGGGTTTGAAATGGAAGAAGAGGTAAGTGGCATACGGGATGACGTGTGGTGACGATGGTGGTTTACAGAAAGAATGAAAGAAAATTTGATGGAAAGTGTTATGTTGGTAGTTGCAGTACAAAGGATGGTGTTGATGGTGAATAGAAAGTTAGAGAGAGTAGATGGGATACTGTTTTCTTTTGTGTTGTTGTTTTTGTTTTTTCTCTTCTTTACAAAGTGATAAAGGTGCTACTTAAATAAGAAGAATATTGTTTTCAGGTTTAATCCCATCCGTCCAAAATTATTAAATCTGCATCTATCCGCCATTTTTGCTAACAGCTAATAAGATTCAAGCACAGTGAATAATATTTTTTGTGACCAAATAACCCTTAAATGATAAAAATAACCAAAAAGACTAAGAATATTAAAATTAACTCCATTTAAAATAACTTTTTTTCTTTTTGAATCTTTTCTGAATAAAAAATAAGGACCCAAAATGACTAAAACAATAAAAAAAAAACGGAAGAAAATTTATCCGAAAAATTAATATGAACACATTAAAATGAACTACATGTAAAAAAGATTAAAGAAAAAATATTCAAAAAGTCAAAAATCAAAATAAAATAATAATAAAAATATCAGGCTAAACAGACTTTTTACGATTAAAAAACGAGACTTCAAACTGTATCGAAAAAAATAAAGCGAGCATACCGTCATAATCTATGCGAGATGCAGATTCATAAAATGATCGGTAAAAGGTGAAAACTTGAAATATTTTCCTCGCTAATTTTTCGCACATTATTGAATCGCTTTTAACAGTTTGTCTATAAAACAAAAATATTTTTATTATCGACACATAAACAACTTGGAGCAATGCAAGAAACGAGTAAAGAGATAAAAATGCATGAAGTGAAATGTCAGGTATTTTTTAACTAAAAGACGATGCAAACTTTGATGTAAACTGACTTTTCTGGTCAACTTAAATACGACTAATGATGTAAAATATGTTGAATGAAAATATTTACTAATGATTATGACCAAAATGACAAAATATGGTACGAATGTGCGACTGAAAAAATTAGGGGCGAAACTAAGGGTGCAACGGTGTGCCTTGATGAATCAATCTTCGAGAATCCACAATCAACTGTACTTCTGGCTTGGGAGACTCAAAACCTTAATTGAGGCGCGACACCTGATGCTCTTGATTCAGACCTGTCTCTGAACATGACACAAAAGAAAACATGAACATACACCTTTGTATGCGATTAGAAATTAGTGATACATATGCTAAAAATGTTCAAAACACTTGACAATCTTCGCATAGTCAAAGCTCGAATGTGAGACGTTAAAACCGACCGTATTTCGTGACCTTGACTTATCTTTAAAAATGCAAAAAATAAAAATGGGATCTTAGGTCAAAAATTGGGGTACAACAGCTGCCCCTATTTAAGTTTCTTCTATCTGGAGATATGAAGATTGGGATCTTCATTTCGACGAGATTGAAGGGACTTAAATATAGAATACACAATTTTTGGCCTTAAGATACCGCAATTATGTTTATGATATGATATGAATGTGATGTTTTGAATTTTATGGGGGATGACACCATATGAGACAAACTATGCTGGAGAAACCAAGCATATTATTGTAACCCTACAGGGGAACAAATTATAACACCACTGGGGAAACAAAGTCATAGACTTCAAATGAGAGACTCTTGAATGATTTACATCAGTATTGAGACTGGAAAATAAATGATTTACATCAGCACTGAGACTGGAAAAAGAAATGATTGACATCAGTATTGTGACTGGAAAAGGAAATGATGGACATCAGTATTGTGACTGGAAAACAAAATGATTGACATCAACACTGTGGCTGGAAATAAACATCTCTGATTTCTGAATTTTACCAAAACGGTAACACATTTCTTCTTTAACCAAGATATCGCTTGAAAAGGATAAAATAACAAACTTCCCCACGGGACTTTTCCGAAAGGGATGCCATTTGCTGAGTAGACATTATTGTTGGGGATACACAAGCTGCTCAAATAAAGAGGCCGCCGCTTGCTTCCTTTCAAAGGTGTCAATAACATACAAGATGCTCATGAAGAGACCGCCACTTGCTATCTTCAAAGAATATTAAAGCACACAAGCTGCTCATGAAGAGTCTGCCACTTGTTGCCAATAACCCACAAGCTGCTCATAAAGAAGCTGCCACTTGCCGTTTTCAAGGGAACAATAACACACAAGTTGCTCAAATAGATAAGCTGCCACTTGCTGTTTTCAAAAAATACTAACGTACAAGCTGCTCATGAAGAAGCTTCCACCTGCCGTTTTCAAAAAGTGTTGATAACACACAAGTTGTCCATGAAGAGACTACCGCTTGCTGTTTTTAAAAGTGTTGATAACATACAAGTTGTCCATGAAGAGACTGCCGCTTGCTGTTTCTTTTCAAAATTACCAATAACACACAAGTTGCTCATGAATAGACCGCCGCTTGTTGTTTTCTTTTCAAAATTACCAATAACACACAAGTTGCTCATGAAGAGACCGCTGCTTGTTGTTTTCAAAGGTGACCATAACAAACAAGTTGCTCATGAAGAGACTGTCGCTTGGTGTTTCTTTCAAGGTATCAATAACATACAAGTTGCTCATGAAGAGACCGCCGCTTGATGTTTTTCAAGAGAAAAATAACACACAAGTTGCTCATGAAGAGACCGCCGCTTGCTGTTTGTCAAGAGTATCCATAACACACAAGTTGCCTCATGAAGAGACCGCCGCTTGCTGTTTCCCACAAAGATACCCATAAAATATCGTGAAGATATTGCTGGAGGTGAGAACCAATAATTTCATTGAGGATGGACAAACTGCTCATGAAGAGACCGCCATTTGTCGTAGAGAAATCAGAAATAATCAAACTGCTCAAATGAAGAGTCAATCGCTTGTTGTCATGTCGATATTCCAGAAGAAGGTTGTGATAACACTACTGGGGAATAAAGTTCATCTTCAATGGGGAACCATGAATAAATCCTTCTTGAGGAGACCAAGTATTTACGTTGCAAAATAAATGCACTTTCCATCTAGGTTTCACAGCCTAGAGATATTCACAAGGTATCGTTCACAAGAGACAAAGCTCAATCCAGGAATAAACTGGGGAGAAAACAGTCAAACAAGACTCCACCCAAGGAGGAACAAACTCAAATGGGGATTTATCCTATCCAGAGATGGAAAAGGAAAGCTAAAGCAAGATTCTTCCACGAGAGTTAACTCAGTGGGGAATTAGAAAGAAGACACACTTTATGCTTAAGTTGACACTCTATTTGGAAAGATCAAATATGTTATTTGAATAGACATAACCAAGGTGTACGAACTCAATGACATCAACAAATACAACTGTGCATGCATGATGCAAGTGTGAATGAATAAATGAATGTCATGTATATGTTGACAAAACAGACAGGGGAGATAGACAGAAGATGATAAGACGTCCCAGTACAACCCGACGCTCAGATAATCTCAACAAAAGGGAAACATTACTGGAGATAAAAACAAAAGCCATCATTGGAGAAAAGTCCTTTTACAAGGCTTAAATCTCTTTGGAGAGGAAGATATTTTTCGGTAGAAATCCCAAAGTTCAGTCTTCTATCACTAACAATCCCTTGAAAGGATGACAACACGAACAATGTTTCGGCTGGAAAGAAGTTTTGCTTAGCTGGAGATACTGGGAACACCACCCTCCGATAATGTGTGCAATACCTATCACATATCCTGACAAATCTGGATTTCCCCTGGGACTAATTTTGGATGCCCCAAGTTTACTGCTGATAAGCTGCGTGATACACGACAATTCTTGCGAATAGCTTCACCTCTAAAATGCCCCAAGCTATATGGTTGATGAGGAGAAATCGTCTCAAGATGATTTTACAAAAGACCTGGCATTCACCATGCTCTGGTGTCTTCAAACTCTTAGAGAGATTCATCAAATCTCTATGTGATTGCCCCGGATTGACTGTAGTTGGCACAACAAATCTTCAAATTTTGCCCCAAAAGAGTAAACAAGTTGGGAAAGCATTAATTAGGAGAAGCAACATGTCCGTGCTTAAGGTCTTCAGGTGACATGCCCAAGGATATGATTTTTTGAAATGATTCTCCAATTACTCAACATAGTTTCAGGCCTTAAAAGAATAAACTCATCACTGGTGCTTATATGTGAGCTTCCTTGATATCAAACAAATGTTTTGCAGTTAGAAAAAGTTTACAATGAGAATGGAAATTCTAATGCAACAGTTATGTAAGCCTTGAAGATTTTGAAAGATATCGCACAAATTTTGCGAGTTAAAGCACCATTTATTTTTGCATAGGAAAAACATATGATACCAACATAACTATTTAGAACATTCATGGGAGTCAGGAACACTATCTCATTGAAGTATGCTTTCAAAATAACCTTGCTTCAATTAGGACTTTTGAAGGTTGTAACGTGGTCTGGTTCATGGTTTTTAGAAAAAAGATTTTAAGGCTCAAAATATTTGGTGCCCACCCATTCTTCATGATGTTCTCCAACCCTATGTTCAGTTAATTCAACATGAGTGTTCATCTCTCAAAAGGATTTTGTGACGGTCAAGGAAACGACGAGGCTTTCCGTGTAGCAACCACCTTTATGTCTTCGTGTTTGTAGTCACCATTTTGTTCTTTGTTGAGGAATTTTCTTTGTATTCCTTTCCTTGCAATTTTATTTTCCCTAACTTTTGCCTGAACTAATTCTTTTGAATTGATAGTCCAGCGGGATGCCTTAATTTTGCCTAAGTCACAAGTTTTCATGTTTTTTGACTTAGCAGGCTTTTTCTTTTTCTCGATTTTTGACTTTTTGAACAAAATGTGTGACATTAGCTTGCATTTACTTGTTGAGAAGATTGTGATTGCCTCGTTTCTTGATGAATGAGGGACAACACTGTGGTTCCACATCTTCTCGATTCATTATATATGAAGGATAGCCCTCGTAATTTCTCTTCAAAAAACATCTTCCTTATGAATTTTGAACACTCAGTCAGATTAACTAAAAAACTACCCTGCCCCAGGTTAAAATTCAAGGTTTTTTCGTATAGAAAAGAAACTTCTGCTTCAAAGGCTCAAAAGGGGTTAGCAAGGGATTATCTTCCTTATATCTCTAGTGTTTAGGGATTTGAAACAATGCCTGTACATCATCAGCAAGATTTTATCTAAAAGCATGCAACCAGAGATTTTGTGTTCTTTAGATCATCATCCTCCCTTCAATCTCTGCCTAGGCAAGAGAATGGGTAACAAGTTGGTATCATAATGCCAAAAGAAATTTAAAATTTGAAAACAAATATGAGTGAAACGAATGAATTTCTTCAAGACAAACATACTCATTGTATTAAGATAATCATACAGATGCAAACAAGTTCTTACATGCAAACAATGTTTTGATAAACAAGAAAAATTACAAAAAGTAGAAATAAGTTAATGATCTAGAAAGGCTTTCCCTCTGGACTTGAATTACTGAAAACATCCTTCAAAAATCAAAGTCACCATCAATCGTGTTTACTCTTCGGCGCATGCTTGATTTGAACTTCAAAACCAACGTCCTTGAATGACAAGATACCACTTCTGAACCTCAATCTTCAAAGCAAAGCAACCCTCCAAGTCATGCCCAGGAACACCTTGATGAAAGGTACAAGTCAAATCAGCTTTGTAGTACCAATGTATCTTCTCAGGAACCTTCGGTGGAGGTCGGGTCTGAACCAAATTCCTCTGCATCAGGATAGGGAACAACTCTGTATAGGTAATTGGAATTGGATCAAACTGGGTTTTCCTTTGATTAGGAACTTGCTGATTATGTTGATGAATAGGAGAAACATGATGATTCTGACAATGATTATTTCTTCCTCTGGTTCTCTTCTTGGAAAAGTTATTATCAAACTTCTTCACACCATTAGCTGAGCTACCATCTTCATATGAACATCCCTTTCCGACATCTTCTTCTAGACGCACTCCCACATTCACCTTGTCAGGAAAGTCACTAGGCGCATTAATTATCATCTTCTCATGAATGAATGATTTCAGAGTTTTAGTGAAGACTTTTATCATCGCTTCCTTCTTCCTAGAAAGATTGACTTGGGAGGCAACCAAAATTTCAACCAAACTAGTTAAGTGCTCCATACTAGCTTTCAAAATAGTCATCTCTCTACGGAGTTCAGAAACCTCTTGCTTGATATTCTCCATTGTCCTCTTAGCGCGAGTGTTGTACTAGTGAGACCAAAGGAAAAATAAGACTCGGAAAAAGACCTTTGAAAGTGAAACAAAAAATGTAAAATGATGTATGATATGTAAAAGAGAGTTTTTATTTGATTTTCAAGGAACTCAAGATATTAAGTTATAAACATCAAAGTATGAAGATAGAAGATGAATTTTAAATTGGCTCCAAACATTGATCAAGTTATCATCAAGATCAATCATCCATTTTGGTGGATTAGGGTCTTCGCCCTATCAACACCCAAGATCCATTGAGCTTGACGAAACTTGTGATGTTTACAAAGAAAGACCTCCAAATTCCTTCAAAGTCAAGTGAAAAGGGTTTTATGGATGCATGAATGCATGGCTATGCAACAACCACAAGCAAGGTCACAAATAAAGTCGAAAGGTTCAACGTCACGAGCATGGAGTCAAGGTAAGGAACACCCCCAAGGTATGTACTAACGGTTTAATCACACCTGTAGAACAAGGTTCTAAGAGTTCCCGAAGTCTACATTCCTCCTTCGGATATTACCAACGTCTTGATTACTCAATAATCAGCAATATTCTCAAGAGAAACTCATCCGAGCGTAGCATCGCGTAACAATTACTTCCGGATTACTCCGTTATAATCTCCGCGCTACAACTAAAAGGCCAAGATGGGTTAGGGTTCTACGATTCCCAGCTTCTCTGGCTCCTAGGTCGAAAATAATAATGTCTTCCCGATTACTCGGTAAACAAATATTACGTTCAAAAGGGCTTTCCACTAAGTGGGGGATCTCATGCCTCCTTCTTCGGGATTACTCCCTCAAAGTTAACATGACTATACCGCCCGTCCTATTCCTAAGTGTAACTTAGTCCGGGTATAGGACTTGTCCTTTGTAAATATTATCAACACCCAAATAATCATAATATATACATATAATCAAACAATCAAATAATGATAAAACAGATAAAACAAATTAGGCTTAACCCACTTAGGGATGGACCAACAAGTGGTCAATCTTTCCCCAGCAGAGTCGCCAATTCTGTAGCGGTGAAAATCGGAGATCAAGCTATTAATTAACTTGACTCGCAAAAGCAAGAGTCGCCACCGCGCTTTATTATTTCCAAGGGAAAAGGGAAAAGAGCGAAATAAAACCCTAAAATATGCAATGTAAAATAATACTTAAAAGTAATAAAAATACAATGCGTTTTTGAAAGAGATCGAGAGTTCGGGGGTTGGTTATACAGTGGGAAGGTATTAGCACCCAATGCATCTGCGGTACTCCGCAGGAACCTTTTGAAATATCTGTTTTTTGGGTTAAAAAATTGTTCATTTGATTAAAATGATTCGTTTGGCTAAAAGATGGGTATGGACAAGATTTTTGAAGATACGACGACCTAGTGTCGAAGCTTTGACTTAAAAGGTGGGAGTTTGAAAATGGAGTCTTTTGGGAAAATTATCTTAGGTTTAACAAAATAGTAACAAACAAGAGATGAATGAGGGTACTCGCAGGATTGGATGAGATGTGTTTGATGACATGAAGTCAGCTGAGTTGAAACATTTCCCTTGGAATGAGCAAAATAAAATGAACATATAAATATTCAGAAGTTCACAAGAAAATAAATCTGACAAAAACAAATTAATGATGAAGAGGCACCGAGAAATTGAAATGACAGAAATATACAAATGAAAGGAATATAACTAATTATCTAAGGAAGTTATTCGAACTAAATTAAAAATTAATTATTAAAATAATTCTAAACTAATTACAAATTCTAAGGTTATAAAAAAAATCTAGTATTATTGAATTTGATCTAAACTAAACTAAAGTTTTAAAATTTAGTAAGTTAAATCTAGATTAAATTAAAATCCTAAGGTTACTAAATTAAATCTAAAACAAATGAAAATTCCAAAGTTACTAAACTAAATCTAAATCAAATAAAATTCTAAAACTACTAAACTAAATTTAAATCAAATAAAAACTCTAAAGTTATTAAACTAAATAAAAATTATACACTTATTAAACTAATTCTAAATCAAATAAAAATTATAAATTTATTAAACTAATTCTAAATCAAATGAAAATTCTAAAGTCACTAAACTAAAACTAAACAAATAAAATTCTAAAGTTAACTAAATAAAATCAAATAAAATTCTAAAGTTATTAAACTAAACTAAAACAAATAAAATTCTAAAATTTACTAAATGAAATAAAATTCTAAAGTTATAAAATAAAACTAAAACAAAATAAAATTCTAAAGTTATTAATTATGATTCTAAATATTTTAAAGTTATAAAATAAATCTAAACTAATTAAAAAATTCTAAATTAACACTAAACTAAATCTAAATATAAAATTTACTAATATTTTTTTTATATATATTTTTTTGCATTTAAGATTTCCGACTTCTTTTATAGTTATATAATAGATGTTCATAGTACAAACTAACTTAGCATGTTCTCACTAATGTAGTTCCTTAGAATATCTTAGCTCTGTATATACATTATATCAACTGTAAACTCTGCCAATCAAATTTTTCATAAGCACATCAACGGCCATAAAAGCAAATGGAAAATGCTCTGATACTTGCTTCATGATTATGTCATAGAAGAAATCTTAATAAGCCACAACCACATATTTGGTAGACAATACTGAAATTAAGTAGTAAACTGTAAACCAAACACATATTTATATTAAATGGGAAAGAAGCCCTTACTTTTGACTAATGAGGAGGTGGAAGGCAATGGCGACGACAATGATGGACGGTGCTCTTCAATTACCAAAACTTGAAGAGGAGACCACCGTGGGTTGCAAAGAAAGGAGCAAACACCAGTGACTCAACTGCCATCAGTTTGATAAGGATGTTAAGTGAAGGTCCATATGTATCCTTCAATGGGTCTCCAATGGCGTCACCAATAACTGCTGCCTTGTGTGGGTCTGACCCTTTTGGACCAAGAGTTCTTGCACGCTCTGAGGCACCAGCCTCAATGTATTTCTTGGCATTTTTCACAACCTTCTTTCGGATCAGCTGTCTCCTAAGAACTGCCAAACTCTTTGTATGCATGGGGGACTGTGGAAGGACTCTATTTGAAGGAGGAAGGCCGAGGAGACCACAAATCAAAGTCATTATTCCAAGTAGGAAAACGTCATAATGGTAAGCAGATGGTTTTTTGAAGGTTGAATTCTTTCTGTTGTGCCATCTTAGAAGCCACACTTCCACATATCCTTCGCTACTGTCCAGTGATAAAGAGACGCGGGTTCCCAGAGAAGTGGACAAAACAGCCTTCTAGGAACATCATGTGGAACAGTGCTTGGCTTTATATAAGATACTGCAGTCCACAACACAACCATCATTGGAACCCCATAATCTGCAATAAAGCCTCGTAGTTTCTTTGTTCCATATCGCCATGTTCTTGCTCTTCTGCTTTTAAGTGTGAAGACGATTAGTCCTAGAGAAAAAAATGACTGCAAGTAATCCATTTGTATACTGCCATTGAATTTGCTCCGAGGAAGGTTCTTCAACTTTGGGATTGCTGAACTCGCCTACCAGTCCCTTTATAGCCTCTTGAAAGAAAAGAACAGTGATAAGCATGCCAAATAACTCCCCTGCAATTCTTGTAAATCTAGTGATAATATTGCAAGCATTAAAAATTGCAAGCAAAATTAACATGAACGCCGTCCAAAAACAAACCCAACCAGCCCAAGCTAGAAAGAGCTCAACACCCAAATCAGGTGTATTTTTGCCGAAATTGTAGAGATAAGTATACATTATAACAGTCGGTTCCGCAACTCCTAAAATCAACAAAGGTTGGCCACCTATAATCGAGTGGATAATTCCACAAATAGCAGTAGATGCTAATGTTTCGACCGTGCTCAAGCTTCCATTTGTATCCCTACTAAGTTGCTCTCCAAATGCAATAACAGGAAGTGCAGAAGCAAAGAATATGTAGAAAGTTGGAGCCAATATGCTAACACCAGAACAGATTGCACAGACCCAATCTTATTTATAGCATTTAACTCTTCCTTTAACATCTTGAATGATTCCCTCGAACGGTGCCCCCATGTTAATTTCCTCCCACAGCTGAAGGAGGAAAATATTTCAAAGGAAGCGAAGAGGCACCGCGAATGTTGAAGGAGAGAAACCTAATGAAAAAGGTTCGGCAGCATGGAAGAGTGGGAAATTTGGAGAGAGGGGAAGTGATTTGCTATATAGTGAGAGGAAAGTATATGCAGAAAAGATGGTAGTCGATTGGTTTTTTGGAGGGTTTGAAATGGAAGAAGAGGTAAGTGGCATACGGGATGACGTGTGGTGACGATGGTGGTTTACAGAAAGAATGAAAGAAAATTTGATGGAAAGTGTTATGTTGGTAGTTGCAGTACAAAGGATGGTGTTGATGGTGAATAGAAAGTTAGAGAGAGTAGATGGGATACTGTTTTCTTTTGTGTTGTTGTTTTTGTTTTTTCTCTTCTTTACAAAGTGATAAAGGTGCTACTTAAATAAGAAGAATATTGTTTTCAGGTTTAATCCCATCCGTCCAAAATTATTAAATCTGCATCTATCCGCCATTTTTGCTAACAACCAATAAGATTCAAGCACAGTGAATAATATTTTTTGTGACCAAATAACCCTTAAATGATAAAAATAACCAAAAAGACTAAGAATATTAAAATTAACTCCATTTAAAATAACTTTTTTTCTTTTTGAATCTTTTCTGAATAAAAAATAAGGACCCAAAATGACTAAAACAATAAAAAAAAAACGGAAGAAAATTTATCCGAAAAATTAATATGAACACATTAAAATGAACTACATGTAAAAAAGATTAAAGAAAAAATATTCAAAAAGTCAAAAATCAAAATAAAATAATAATAAAAATATCAGGCTAAACAGACGTTTTACGATTAAAAAACGAGACTTCAAACTGTATCGAAAAAAATAAAGAGAGCATACCGTCATAATCTATGCGAGATGCAGATTCATAAAATGATCGGTAAAAGGTGAAAACTTGAAATATTTTCCTCGCTAATTTTTCGCACATTATTGAATCGCTTTTAACAGTTTGTCTATAAAACCAAAATATTTTTATTATCGACACATAAACAACTTGGAGCAATGCAAGAAACGAGTAAAGAGATAAAAATGCATGAAGTGAAATGTCAGGTATTTTTTAACTAAAAGACGATGCAAACTTTGATGTAAACTGACTTTTCTGGTCAACTTAAATACGACTAATGATGTAAAATATGTTGAATGAAAATATTTACTAATGATTATGACCAAAATGACAAAATATGGTACGAATGTGCGACTGAAAAAATTAGGGGCGAAACTAAGGGTGCAACGGTGTGCCTTGATGAATCAATCTTCGAGAATCCACAATCAACTGTACTTCTGGCTTGGGAGACTCAAAACCTTAATTGAGGCGCGACACCTGATGCTCTTGATTCAGACCTGTCTCTGAACATGACACAAAAGAAAACATGAACTTACACCTTTGTATGCGATTAGAAATTAGTGATACATATGCTAAAAATGTTCAAAACACTTGACAATCTTCGCATAGTCAAAGCTCGAATGTGAGACGTTAAAACCGACCGTATTTCGTGACCTTGACTTATCTTTAAAAATGCAAAAAATAAAAATGGGATCTTAGGTCAAAAATTGGGGTACAACACTATGTGAATAGGTAAATACACCTCTCCAATGACAAGTTTTCTCGAACCATCTAAAGCTTTTACTATAATGCCACTAGGGCGTATAGGAGTTCCCTAGTATTTAATCTTCATGGGAGTAATTCTTGGTATGATATTCAAATCAGATCCATTGTCTATCAGCACATTGGACAAAGAGTCATTCTTAAAATTCATAGATATATGCAGAGACAGGTTATAATTTCTCCCTTCATTGGGAAATTCTTCATCACAAAAACTGCGATTGTTACAGGACGTAATATTCCCCACAAAACTATCGAACTAATCCAGAGACATTTCACTTTTAATAAAAGCCTGATCCAACACCCTCATCAGTGATTCCTAATAAGCAAAGAAGTTCATCAACAAGGCTAAAATGGAAATATTAGATGGAAATTGTAACAACTGATCCACAATCTTGTAATCACTCATCTTGATGATTTTCAACAGATCATCAACATCCTTTTCAAAGGCGGAGCCACTAGATTCTCCTACCACATTCTTAGGTTTAATATTCTCAATGACTTTCTTACAAGAATTAACATCTCCTTGAAAGCTAGGGGAGAAGACACGACCACTACGAGTTACCCAACTAGCTTCAACAATATTCTTAACATGGGACAAAGGTTGGATAGGAATTTCCACACCATCTTCCAGGATAGTTGTGTTGTACTTATAAGGCACAACTTTGTCTGATTCATATGGGACAAGACCAGGCAGACAAATAACTACGGGAGAAACAATAGGCTTATTGTGGTACACAATTTCTACAGGAGCAGGAACACCAAAATATGACACATGACATTAGCCCCTTCTTCTTTAGAATACTCAAGAATCGTAGAATCATTATTAGAAAATATACCTTTATCAGAAGAAAAGAACTCATCAGCAGAAACATACTCATCATCAGACATGGCCTCAACAGAGTAGTCTTCAATCCTATTAACCATATTAGAATAATCTTTGTTGCATGAGATTCTGATAGAACATTATCTAACATCAATTGAGCAACTCTTCTTACAATAGAACAATCACGGGAATCCTTACAACAGATCTGATAGGACCCATAATGATGTACCTCCTGGCCATCCATGTGACAAAATATAGCGTGCACCTGTACCAGATTATCATTCATATAGTTTACATCAAAAATCCAAAATTCTTTGGGACATCCATAAACCATATTCACATCTTCTTCATATTCACCCTTTGGTCTGATTATATGGATAAGACCTTCATCCATCATTTCTTGAAGATCAACTCTCACTTTATCACATCCATAAATATCTGAACTGCAAATATTACAACCCGCATGATCGTGTGTATAATAGTTGAATTCATAAAGATCAGCATGCATCTCCACAAAATCACCTCTGACTAGATTGATATAAAAAATCCCGAAATCCCCAAGACAACCAACAATCATATTTACAACACTTCCACCTCCATGTTTGGGTAATGGATTATCCTTCACATTGGGACCAACATATTTAAAAGACAAGAGACCATATCTTACCATCTTCTGCACTTCAAACTTCAACAGATAACAGTTTTCAATGTTGTGCCCATGGGCTCCTTGATGAAAAGCACAAGTCTGATCCGCCTTATAATACCAGGGCAAAGTTGAAGGTATAGCAAGGGGAGGCCTAGTCTGCACCAATTTATTTTGAATCAAACACGGAAACAACTCTACATAACTCATCGAAATAGGATCAAAAGCTTCCCTCTTTTGACATTGCCCTTGATTACCTTATTGTGGTGCTCTCTGATAGGAAACAACAGTCGGAGCCACATTGACAACCAGAGTTAGAGGCTATCTATTATTGATGCTGATGACGTCTTCTTGGAGGTCTAACCATTCTTTCCTCAGCAACAACATTTGTTTTACTTTATTTCTTTTTAAAAACCCATATGATGATTTCTTTCTTCCACTTGAACCTTCATCTTTTGTCAATCGTCCTTCCCTGACAGATTCCTCTAGACGAACACCCATACTCACCATCACACTGAAATCACTTGGTGCACTCGTAACCATTATTTCATAGTAAAATGAACCAATGGTTTTTAGGAAGACCTTAGTCATTTATTGCTCAGTTATTGGAGATACCACTTGTGTAGCAACTTCACACCAATGATGTACATAGTCTTCGAATGACTCTTTATCTTTCTAAGCCATCGCTCTTAATTGGTCATGATCAGGTGACATAAACATGTTGTACTTATACTATTTCAAGAAATCTTCATCCAAATCATTGAATGTGCAGATGTTGCTATTGTCTAATCCCATATACCAATTTAAAGCAGCACCAGTTAAACTATCTTGAAATAAATAAATAAGAAAGCATTGGTCATCAGTATGAGTGCATATTCTTGTAATATACATCACCAGGTGGTCACGGGGACAAGAGTTTCCCTTGTACTTCTCAAATTATGGCACCTTAAACTTTGATGGAACCTTCACATTAGGAATTAAGAAGAGGTCACTAACATTTTGTCCGAATAACTCTTTCCCTATGAGAGCCTTCACTTCTTTCTGCATTTTATTGAATTGATTCTGAAAGTCATCCACCCATTCATAAAAGCCCAAACTTTCACTCGGTGGAGGAGAAGGATGATAAACTTCATCATTAATAACAGGTATAACATTCACTGTAGGAGGTGCAGCAGGATGAATCTCATTATTAGCAACAGGAGTAGCATGCACCACAGGAGGTGCCGAAACAACAACAGTTTGAACAAATGGAGAAACTTGAGCAGCCGGATTATAACCTCCTGGCATAAAATTCTCAGGCATTCCCCATAGGTAACCGCGAGGCATACAGTATTGAGCAACAGTAACCAGAGTAAAAGAGATGGGAATTGATAGGACTTCTGAAATAACGGTTATCCTCTGTGGCTGAGTAGCATGAGGAGACAAAGGAGGAGGTGGTGGATGATTTTGAGCAGCCACCAACGATTCTATCAAAGCAGTCAAGTTGGCCATACCAGCTCTCAAAGTAGTAATCTCTTCGCGCAACTCACGATTCTCTTGTTCAAGATTTTCCATCTTCTTTCTAGAATTAGCCCGAGTATTATAGCGATGAGACAACTTGTTGACTGGAAAAAGTAGAGAAATAAGTAAGACACCTGGGAATGAACAAGAATGCAAAAATTTGTGTGAAATGATGCATGATATGCAGTGCATATGATTAATTTTGTTTATTCAAGGAACTCAAATAATAATAAACAATTGCAAATATTGAAGTATTAACACATTTGGAGATACTGAAAAATCTCATTTTAATAATAATTTTGGAATGGATAACAAATTTTAGTACAAGTCTCAATAATCCTAAGTACAAGAGAATAAAGATAGAATCTAAAAATCCTAAG